TTGCTACCTAGGTGAAATGATTACCTAAAATCGCGGCGCGCCCGAGCGAAATAACGCAGTCAGGGCTAGAACGTTGGCGGCGATTGAATGTTAAAGTTTTTAACGCTGTTTACGTATATAACTTTTTGTAAATATTGTTAAAATAGTTTTTGTTTAGTGTTTAGTATATTTAATTATAGGTTAAAGTAGTTCAAAAGGTAATATACATAATATTTATATATTATGTATATTACCCATTATTTAATAAATTTTAATATGGCAAAACGCTCAGTCAAGTGTAATGTCCCTCTGCAAGATGCAGGAGTGTACAAGCTTGATTGTGAATGTGGTCTCTCCTACATAGGACAAACTAAAAGATCAATAAAAACCCGCGTTAAAGAACATATAGCTGATGTGAAGAATCGACGCTCCGGGAAGTCTGCAGTCTGTGAACACGTACAGGATCACCCCCGTCACTACATCAGATTTGATAGACCGCAAATCCTCGCTAAAAACACCGATTCCTTCCAAGGATGATTCGCGAGGCTGTTGAAATCAAAAAACATCCTAAATTCAATAGAGAAGATGGCTGGGTGCTACCATCTGCTTGGGATCCTATAATAAATAAAATTAAATCCCAACCCAAGCATACAACTGCAAGACTTCAAGATACCATAAGTTCATACTGCATAGATCGGAACAAAAGTTAAATTTTAATCTATGGTAACCGCGGTTAACTATGACATATGGACGTTAAACATCTTAGTCCCGCCCGTGACCATGAGTGCTGTAAAGCGTTCGAAACGTCGGGTATTTGAAAAGTTAAATATACGCGATAAATTCCGTAAAAACTAGTATTATTTCAATAAGTAGAATACTATTACATTTCTGTTAGGAATCGTAAGCTCAGAAGGGCTAGAACCCAGAGCCCTAATGCCAGTTATAACCAGTTTTTAAGAAAAATCTGCGCGAATTGCGAACTGCTCAACAGCGTGACCACTTATAGTAGATTTCTACTTTTTAGTAGATTTGAAGCAAATAAGACGATAATCTAGTAGGATAAAATGTCTTAGTATAATTTAGTACTAATGAGAAATACATCGGTATGTTTTGGTATTAATTCACTATCAAAAATATCAGGCTTAAAAGCAAGCATTTATGTCCAAAAAGTTTTAATTTTACAGTTGGCAAGACACGAAAGTGATTCGGGGGATTCCCTTATTATTGAATGAAAGTTACTATAATGTACTTATAGTGATAGATAACACAGTTTTATTAGTCGTTTTTTGAGCATAGGTGTGATAGACTAGTAGGAATTCCTTGAGAATTTTTATAATCGAATTCATCATTTTAATCGAGTTCATCGATGCCCGAAAAGCAGTGTATGGTGAATTTCGAACTCTGATAATAATACTGCAAAGGTTTACTAACTTAGTTGCAACAGAAAACATGCAAATTGTAAACAATGAATAAAGGGAATTAAAATTAGATATTTCGGTGTCTAATTTATTGTCTAGTTCGACGTCTGACACTTTTATGGTGGATACGTAGTGAAGTCAGCCAAATTGAATAAAGCTATTATTTACGGATTTTATCGCGTTTAATTACTTTAATTTATTTTTATTATTATCCCGACGTTTCGGGTGCTTTACAGCACCCATGGTCACGGGGGGGACTGAGATGTTTGACGTCCCAATGTCATTGTTAGCCCGGCTAAAATACGGCCGACGTATCTTGGCGAGTCCGACCTTCGCGCAGAAGGTTGCGCAATAGCTTTTTTAAGGAACAAAATGGTGGCATGAGGCGACGTACGGGGGGCGGTGGTCTAGGCTAGAGATTGACCATAAGTAAACACAATCGACCCTTTAGTCATAAAATATCGCAATCGATTAGTTTTATTTAGAAGTTATTGATTTTTGTTTATATAAGATATTAAACGAAATAGATTTACAAATATAGTGAATTTTGTTGATAATAAACAAGATTTCGACTTAAATAAAAAGAAAAACTAAAAACATATTATTTTCTCAGCTGAAAGACATAATGTACTTAAATATCAATTATCTATTAACGTCTTCTTGAGTAACGACTATTTGAGAAAATTTAGAACCTCCTTATAAATTGCAAATAAATATATTTTTATGTCTTAATTTTAATCGATTTGAATAAAAATCGATTAAACAACACCCTCAGGCACGCGTGTTGGACATCCCTTTCTGGTTACTTCGTAAAGCTTCGTGCTTATTCGGCAATGCTCGGTACACGGTAATATTTCTCAGTCACACGTTAGCATTGGTGTCGTGTTCGTGTCGCTATCTCTGTCTTGAGCACAGTCGGTTACAAAAGTTTTCGTTGTTATTGTTGTTTGTTTTTATTAATAGTGTTAAGTTTGTTTTATTTGTTTTATTTGCAAGTGTCAGTTAGCACTTATATTATTCGCCAAACATGCCACCAAAACATAACAGTGTGTTAAATCGCCAGGCGAGAAAAATTATTTACGATTTAACGCAATATATGAAAAAAGAAAAAGAAGAAGGCGTAAAAGATGTCGATAAAGTTTATTTAAGAGTTGCTAACGCAACTGGTGTATCCCAACGCACAGTACAGCGGATCGCAACTGAAGGCAATATTTCGGGCTTACTTTCAGTATTCCGCACGCCTGGTAAAAAAAGGTCTAGATCAAAACCTATTACTGATATGGATAATTTTGACCAGGGAGTAGTAAAAAGATGCATACACAACTTCCACAAAACTGAAAAAGAAATGCCGACGATAAACAAATTACTAGCGAAACTCAAACGGGATATAAATTTTCAAGGTGGTAAAACGAGCTTAAAGACAATTATCAAAAACTTGGGTTTCAAGTGGCGAAAGACCGAAACCAATAGAATGGTTCTTATAGAGAAGACCGACATTCGCCTGAAAAGGATCTTGTACTTGAAGGCAATGAAAAAATACAGGGACGAAGGGCGACCAATTGTATTCACTGACGAGTCGTATGCCCACTCATCACATACAAAAGGTAAGGCGTGGTCAGATGGTTCCGCTCAAGGACTAAAGCGCCCGATATCAAAAGGTCAGCGGATAGTGATGGTACACGCTGGGTCAGAAGCAGGGTTTGTTCCGAACGCGCTACTAATGTTCAAATCTGGCAGCAAAACCGGAGACTATCATGATGACATGAATTTCAAAAATTATGAGAAATGGTTACGGACCCAACTGATTCCAAATTTGAGCCCTAACTCGGTGGTGGTTATCGATAATGCTCCGTACCACAACAAATTAATGGATCCTGCCCCTACATCTAATGACAAGAAGGCAAAAATGGAATCGTGGTTATTAGAAAAGGGTATACCATATGAAAAGGACATGCGTAAACCACAACTTTACGATCTAATAAAAAAAAACAAAGACGTGAATAAAAAATACGTAATAGATGAAATGTTTAAACAAAACAACCACGATGTCCTTCGTTTACCCCCATATCATCCCGATTTAAACCCCATCGAGATGGTGTGGGCTGCCATTAAAGGGCACGTAGCCGCTAAAAACGTCGACTGGAACGTAACCCGGACAATGGAGCTCATACAAGAAAAAGTAAATTTAATGGGTCAGAATGAATGGAGTGCTTTATGCAGAAAAGTGCAAGAGGTCGAACATGACTATAGGAAGAGCGACCATATTATTGACGAAATGACGGATCAATTATTCATCATTAATACAGCTTCAGATTCAGAAAGTGAGTCTGAAAGTGAGAGCGACGATTACGAAGATGAACCTATGCCAAGTACCTCACATGGTACACAAGGGGCCGACGACTTTATGTTAGGAATTTCCCCCCCTCAGCGACAGTGATTAAATAATAATAAGTGTAAATAAATAAAAAGTATTAAATGTAAATAATATTGTATGTGTTTGTGATAAAATCTGCCCCTATCGAAAGGTGAGGTATCAAAATTGAATCTTTAATTTATAATGTCTCCAAAGTGTTTTGATATTTTTGGTCACTGTATTAGGGAAATTTTATTTGTACATTGGTATATATAAAAAAATGACAATAACAGTTTTCTTCACGAGTGTTCATGCGCTAAACTTCGCAGAGCCTATATTCAGACTCGCCAAGATACGTCGGCCGTATTATACCTTCAGTTTTTGTATATTAATTTTTGGTCCGATTTACGCAAAACGAACTTACAGTAATATACAAAAACTGAAGGTAGCCGGGCTAACAATGACATTGGGACGTCAAACATCTCAGTCCCCCCGTGACCATGGGTGCTGTAAAGCACCCGAAACGTCGGGATAATAATAAAAATAAGTTAAAGTAATTAAACGCGATAAAATCCGTAAATAATAGTTTTATTCAATATGTAGTGTTCGCGTAAATTTAAGAAATCATTAAGTCAGCCAAATCTATGATGCGGATAGCAAACCAAACTATGGCAACGTCTTCCGAAATAGGGGCTACGACAGTTGGAAGGAGGATGTGGCAGATTTGTTCCTGACAAAAGTGTGATCAAGCTAATGGATTCAAAACAGCTTTATGACAATGTTACCCAACATAAAGACGAAGAATATTAACTTTAAGTTTCATTTTATAATTTTTTTAATTACATTTTTATTTAGAATTTTTTTAAACATTAGTTTCTTTAACTAATGGTGGTTTCTTTGTTATTTTTATTATTTTATCGTTTAATCAAGAAAACATTTCTGTTTTTACCTTGTAACACGACAGCAAAAGAAAGATTTTTAGTATTTTCTCGTTCTCTTTTGGTAGAATTCAGTAGATTTTAACCTCCACAAGCAGTAGATTCGTCAAATGCAAATGCTGATAATAAACATTTTAATTTCATAGATAAATAAATATATAGCAAGCTATTTAATTTTAGAATTTGGATTACGGTGCCGGTGTGAATTAAAACATAGTAAATAAATTATGTTACTTGAGCCCAGTGATATATCTTATCACATAATAAAAACCACTAAATTTATTTTAGCATGTTGAATGCCCTAGGTTTAATATGGCTGTTACAATAATTATGAAGAGTAGCAAGGGGCCGATAATTGATCCAGCTTTATGCCGTTGTTGCCGCTCGATTAAAAAATGCCGTCTTTTGTCTTCGGAGTACGAATGGATGGGCAAGAAGGAGGTCTATTCAGATATGTTAATGGATTGTTTTGGATTACTTGTGAGTATATAGCATGTTTATGTTTGGTCAGTCAGCTTATTTCATTCAAAGTTCATATATTCCTTCAAAAACCCTGATCCCGAACTAATGAATAGTATCTTTAAACTGATTTGTTTTATATCGTTATGACGTGAGTTGTCCCTAATAAAATTTCAATCCACCAAGATGAGAGAGCATGTGTTTTGATGAACTAACAGTTAGGTGAATGGCATAAAGATGCATCGCCAGCCTTGTAAAAAAGAGTAGGCTCTTTATTAAAAAGAATATATGTTAAAAACATTAAACCTTCAATCCCCATAAATATCCCATGCAATCGCATGCTCCCAGCAAATCCCGAGCGGTTGCATGTGATCGCACCCACTCACATCACTTAAAATCATTAAAACTTAAGAGACTACATTTCCATGAAGAAGTTTGGCATTATAAAATCTATACAAAATTCTCTATCTTGTGGTCTAAACAAAAGTCAGGTTTTACTTCATTACAAAAAGATTTTATTGTATTTTGATAACAAAAAAAAAAACATATCATGTGAATGTCGGCAGCGTGAAAATCACAATTATTTCAATATATATTACTCGAAATTATTTAAGTAAAAAGATAAATTATATTTACACAAAAACTTTAATTACAATTTTATAATAAAACACTATACTAAAACCCTAATAAAACATTAGAAAAATCCAAAAATCAACACAATAATTTTCATGCGAAAATGGCATACAAAATGAACATAGATTATAAATAAATATCTTTAGGATAACTAACTTTTTATTGCACAAGAAGATAGAAAATTTCATATTCATTCTATAATACTAAACTTCTTCATAGAAAAGTAGTCTCTATATATAAGTTTTTATGGGTTAAAGAGCTGTTGGTAGGTGCGGTCATATTTGACCGCTTGAATTTTGACAAAATATCGAAGCAGTCAAATTTGGCCGCTTGGTGTTTGAGAGGTTAACTTGTTTTCATATATGTCTGTTGACGTCTAATTTAGTTATTTAATTTAATCTTATTTTCTGATGAGCTAGAGGAAACTTGAAGTTTTAAACATATCACAAAATTCGAATATAAGAAGTTAAAAAAAAAAACAAAAGATTTTTTTGTAAATTAATTCTACATAAACCAACAACACCACCCTATTTAAAATAAATATTATTTATTATATATTTAACATATCATACATAAATAATTCAAAATGATCCCACTGTTTCTTATGCAGTGCGACTGGAGCACATCGGATCTGACAGGCATTATTTTTTTAAATATATCTAAGTAATAAATAAGTCTTGTTATCACTTTTTTCAAAACTTCCATTGTATACATCTTTCACATTTTTATTACTGTGGGTACTCCACACTTGTTACTTAAATTTTGTAAAATTATCTTGATTGAGAGCCGTTATCTTAGATGGTTAGACAGTTGTGGTGTGGTAAATTTTACAGTACCAGAACCGGGTTCGATCCCTGTCGACACCAATGAAATTGTTAATTGCAATTTTAAGTGCTGATTTATCACATGCTCGGCGGTGAAGGAAAACATAGTATGGAAACCTGCATGTCTGAGAAATAAGAAATCATGTGAAGTTCACCACATTACACTAAAACCTATCAGAAATGAGGGGAGGCCTGTACTCAGCAGCAGGACGTATATAGGTTGTAACTTTTACTATCTTTAACTTTTATCGTAATTATTTCATACAGCTTTCCCATCTGGATGGTGACAGCAAAGACAGTTGCATCTGTGCGACTTGTGTTGCCCGCCTTCGTGAAGCCAGTGCTTTCCGCCATCAGGTCCTACAGTCCGAGGAGGTATTTTTAAATGCCAGACTTGAAGAAAATAAAGAAGGTCAGTTCTTGTATATTCATTACAACTCGTCAAAAGTCTTCTGTACGTATGGTCAATACCATAGATTTCGTCATAACACAGCAAAATAAATCTTGTTAGAAACATCGTTTCTAATGTCTACATTCTAATGTAAACATAGGCCTCCCCAAAAATTGCTTCATAGTTTTTCTAAATGCTATAAGGACTCCTGGCATGTTTCCCTATATTGTCTCTTATGATATCTCTGGGTCGAAATGGGGTAGTGGATATACCTACACTCCTACACATTCATTATGTTTATAAATAACACAGTAGTTTCACAAATATTTAGGTAAAAACCCAAATAATATGATTGTCGTTTTTTACAGATGGTGATGCAAAAGCATTAATAGAGGTTAAGCCTGAACCAATTGATGGCATTGACTCGGACACCCACATGGATGACAGAGAGGATCTAAGCATTGAACACCAAGGTATGTAAAACAAGTTTATATACATTTTTGTGTAGACTTTCCATGAATAGAAACATATACATGAATAGAAATGTATACTTTTTATTCAATATAGATTATAAATAATACATATTGAAGTTACCCTTAAATTTAATTTACCTCCTGATTTAAGGTTCTCAATTCAACTGCTTTTTTGTGTCCTGAGAACTTTTTTCTAGGTAAACTGATTTTGATGATCCTTTTTTATATGAAAGCTGGTGCTTCTCATGTGGTCCCATATAAATTTGATCAAGATCTGACCATTAGGTTTTGAGTTCTCTTTAATGCTCACCGTTCTCTCTTGTGCCTAGTTTTGCATTGAAGTCTTCCATTGACACCGTGTAGTGAATTTTGGAGGAATGCATGGCTTTAGAAATATCCTTATACATTTCCTCCTCCTCCTCATCGATATGTGCCGATGTTGGTGCCTGGTGCGTAAACCTGTATGACCTTCAGCGAGTACTGTTTGGTAATTCTGAGTATAAGGTATGCAACCCTCATCGACACTTCCAATCTTTACAACGCTATTGACGAGAAACTTGTGGGCGAAAAATCCGATACCTTCTTGGGATAGATTGTCGCACTCCCGGTGATAAAACAAGTTGCCTGATTCGAGTATCACCGTGTCTTCCCCCTCTCTTCGGACCTCGGATAATCCTATCATTCCAGCGCAAGTTGTCTATTTCTTCTTCCAGCTCCAGGATTTTCTCGTCAGTCCTCAGGCTGCGTGCGTTGTATGTTGCCAGGTCAAGTCGCCTCACGTGGTAACCGAATGTGCATCAGAGATTAGTAGCCAGGAATAGCAGGGCCGCTGGGGACCATCTCCTCGTAACTCTCATCATGGGGTTATAGTTGTAGTAGTTGCCAAGCCTGGCGAGCGGGGGCAAGTTTTTTTTTGTTGTACAATTGCTATTATCAGGAAGACTCTGCTGCCCATCTCCTGCTTGTTTCCCTCTGTCGCCTTTTACGACACCCACGAGAAGATCACTGCTCTATAGTGGGTATTCTTAATGGCCATTTCTACTACATCTTTATTTTTTTATTTATTCATTAGGTTCTCCAACAGTTATAACACAATACATTTGAATAAAAAAATACAAGTTCCAGCATGTCTTAAACTAAGTGCATAACTATTTATAGGGGAACACATCGTGCGTTTAATAATAAGTTACCTCTATGTGAAAGAAAAATCATTAAACCTATTTTAAGTTATTTTTTTAACAAATTATAGAAGATATTGTTTTGCGATAAAGTCCCTGATCTGCTTACGGAAATGTTCAGAAGAATCAAAATTAAGATCTACCAATGTGCTGCATTCATTGTAAAGTCTACTCAATTTATTAAATACAAAGTAATAATCAGTACTTTTTTTTAATAGGATAGGGTGACAAACGAGCACACAGTCCACCTGATGGTAAGTGGTTGCTGTGGCCCATAGATATCTACATCTATCCTCAATTACGAATAAAAATGCAGATGCGTTGTTACCCATGAGGACCAAGATTGAATGCCTCGTTTCCAGTAAAAATGGTCGCCGGTTCTCTACACTCACCATATGAAACAGCAGCATTAAGCTACTATTTTACGCTGGTAATCTGTGAGAGCCGTGGTAGCTCAGTGGTTAACGCTCGCTGTTAATATAACAGAATGCGAGTAACCTGGGTTCGATCCCCGCCGGCACCAATGAAATTGTTAATTGCAATTTTAAGTGCTGATTTACCACGTGCTCGGCGGTGAAGGAAAACATCGTGAGGAAACCTGCATGTCTGAGGAATAAGAAAAAAAATATTTCGAAGACATGTGAAGTTCGTCAACACGCATTTGGGCAGCGCGGCGGACACTTCCTTGCCCTAAACCCTCTCAGAAATGAGGGGAGGCCTGAGCCCAGCAGTGGGACGTATATAGGCTGTAACTTTACTTTTTACTTTACTTTAATCTGTGAGAGCGTGGTCCTTCCCTGGTCGAGCCGACCCATTTGTGCTACAACTATACTACTAATATAACTGCAGCATGGCTCTACCACGTATAAAATCAAGCAAATTAAATTGTCAAATTATTAATTGTCTTGTCATCAATAATTTTATAAAAAGAGTCAGAAGACATATACTGTCTGCAAATATGTCAATTTCATTGTTGGGTGAGTATGTCCCTTATTAGTATTAATGCTCGATTTGTTGGTGCAAAGGCAGCACGTTTGGTGCGTATAACTGGTCTGTCTGTCTAAGAGACATGTCCTACGACGCGAAACCACCGCTCCTCCATTATCTCTCTGTAGCTAACTGGGCACCAGCAAACCGACTCTCCACAACCGACTGGCAGTCAAACTTGTGGTGAATATTAAAAAGATAGTGCTTAATAGTTGACATCACCCTCTTAAACATTAGGATTTCTAAATCAACCATATCCAAGGCGAATAGGGAAGGATAGAAATAAGTGTAGAAACCATGAGTTTTCTTATAAAGCCAACGAGCAAACTCACATTGTATCCTCTCTTACAAGATAGTATACTTATTTTCATAAGGATAGACCGCAGCTGCATACTCTAGCTTACTTCGACGCACGATACAAAGTTTTAGCCACTCTTATATCATCAAAATTGGCAGCAGTCCTCATCACAAAACCCAAAGTCTTACTAGCTAGCTTACAAATGGATGTCATATGATTGTGAAAATCTAATTTTGTAACTAATAATAAGCTTAAGTTATATATATATATATATATATATATATATATATATATATCATATCCTCGCGCAAAAGTAACTTTGCATTTACTTTCATTAAGAGGAAGAAGACTTCATTCCGATACCCCATCTATGTCCTGTTGAAAGAGCCTGTGCATCAGCAGCACTACCAATCCCCAAACTGAATTTTAGATCATATGCAAATAACAGACACTTAGCAGATTTAACTTTCATAGGCAAGTCATTTATTTATAATAAGAACAGCATAGGGCTAAGAGTACTAACCTGACTCACACCAGATCTAGTAAAATAATTAGCGGGTTCGAAACCACTTACTCTAACGAATTGACGACGAATATCCAAATACCCAACTTAGCCGGTGGATCAAAAGCTTTTCTAAAGTCGAAATAGGCGGCGTCTACCCGTCTTCTAGAATCCTTCTCTGCACAGACATAATCCATGTGTGATATCTTATGACTTAAACAACTGCAGTCCCATCCCATGTTTGCATGAACTAAAAAAGTTATGTCGCTAGAAAGTCATGCTTTTAAAAGGGACGATTATTACACCATTTCAGCCCATCGCTGAATATAGGATCCCACCAAGAAATGGCGCAATGCATATCTTACCAGATCGTCACTATCTAGTGGGGGTCCGCCCTACACTGCAAAAAAAATACAATTATATGGTCAGTAAAGAGTAAATTGTATAATTTATGTTACTTTGATTTGAAATTTCAGATTCCAAACCAATAGCAAAGCAATTAGACGCACAAACAAAGAAGCAAACACCACAAGATGTGACAAGGCGCAGGTCGCTACGTTCACATTGCGGTCAAACTGAAGGAACGGTTAAGAAAGAAATGATAGGTCGTATGCGTGGCTTACGCTCCAAGCTGGACCGAATGCTGGACACACCAGGTAGTGTAAAGCTAAATGCCCAATTCCATATTCTGTAACTGTTGTATATATACTAGTCTTTCAGGCCGAATGCGGTCAGTGCAGCTAGTTTCAATGGAGATTAGCCATCTGCGTAGGACAGGTTTATAGTGTACGAGTGTGTCTTTAAGCACAGGTGCACTCCTATTCTCTCACTCTCATAGTTCTTTGGCCGTGGAAGGAAAAGGGGAGTACTCCTGCCGGGTAAGGTGTTTAGCCCGGGGAGCAGCCAACACTCCTCGTGCTAAGTTCGGGGCTATTCTATATATACTCGATGTACTTCGGAACTTTCTAGCGTGATTTAGGATTCGGTTCGTTTCGCTTGTGGCGTGACCACAGTGTCACCACATCACTCCCTGCTGAGACCGGAGATCGATAGTGCAGTTCCATTAACGGTGCGCCCTTAATGCCGGTGGGAAATGCATTCTGTGTGCATAAGGGCAAGTGACACCGATGCGAATGATATGCAGATGTATAATGTATGCCGTAATACGCAAGTGATGCCGGTGAGAACGATGTGCCAAAGCAAGTGCTAGAAGTCTGCCTTATAAGTCTGCAGTGTGATGGAGCCGCTTACAGCAGATGTCGTTGCAGACGTAAACACAGACTCCGCTTAGCTGATAGAAATTATGTTCCAATGTGTACCCAGGGTAGCCAAGGTACGCCGCATCTAAAGGACATCTTGATCTGTGTTTCAGTCAAGAAGAGCAAGTGTGGCTTGTCAGTCTCAAGGTGGTAATGGACTGCATTGAGATTACAGTCCAGGCCTCGGATGTGTGTGAAGTGCACTTTGATGGAGAGGGAGTACAACCGCAGTACAGACTTACTCTTCTTTTTTGGTTTTTTCATCATTGCTGGAGTGAATAGGTTGAGAGAATGGCAGTTGGACGAGGCGTCACACATATAACCTAGGGACGCAAACAGAGTCACAGCATTGATGATACCTAGCATGGAGATCGCGAGGACGCCCGAACCCCCCTGGAAATCGCCACCGGGCCCTCTCCTCCGGTCGCCAACCGGCATGGTGGAGCCATCCCAGGATTTTCCGTATGATAGCGGGGCAGCCTTTCATGAGTGGCTGGCTCATTAATTGGGCCCCCAACTATCTACGGTCGGCCAGCAGTGCAACCGTGCATCGGATCCCGCTAACCTCCATAACCTGGCACCTGACACCAAGAAACGGCCGCGTCATAACCGATTATTATGCGCAACGCAACTGTCCAGACCCATTCTGTCTATGAAATGCGTTACATCTAACATCATACTGGAACACGACTTGTATCGTTTGGCGGTACGTCTTTGCCAGGTGGGTGGTAACTAACCCTTGGCTCTCTTTAATAGAGGACCAACCTACCACCAACTGCTGGTTTAGCACTACCCAGGGGATACGTGTAGGCTGTCAGGATTCAAGTAATTCCTACGGACGCGAGCAGCTTTATCCCCCAAAATCATTTCCCGGGTCGACTAAATCGGGTCCAGTTCAATCCCCAGAAGACACAAGTTCGCTGTTTACCGTTATTGTAATCAAGAACTCCTTTGTCGTATCTCCTCAGTTTCTTGCTGCCTCAGCTGGCATCGGTATCCTCTGTGTCGACATATCGAATAGTGTACAGTTTCATGGTCACTTTGAAGGGAAGGCCGAATTGGCCTCAAAAAGCTAGGTATGCTCAGCAGCGCGGGACAGTATTTAATGTCGGCACATCGCTTGCAACTTTACAAAGCGCAAGTTCGGCCTCACATGGAATACTGTTCTCAGCTCTGGGCCGGAGCACCCCAGTGCCAGCTCTTTTCACATGACGGCATCCAACGAAGAGCAGTTCGAAACGCCGACGACCGAGTTCTTTCGATGATTTCTGATCGGCTCAATTCACTGGTGCTACGTAGAGATTTTGCATCCCATTGCATTTTCTAACGCATCTACCACGGGGAGTGCTCTGAGGAATTATTCGGATTAATTCCAGCCGCCAAATTTCACGAACGCACATCGTGTCGAAATTCACGATACCATCCTTAGCATCTGGATGCTTGGCGGTCCTCCACTGTGCGTTTTACTAGAAGTTTTCTTCCTCATACAACTTATCTGTGGAATTGTTTACCACCGACGACTTTTCCGGACCGATACGACTTAGGGAGCTTCAAGAAAAGAGCTTACTCCTTTCTAAAAAGCCGGCAACGCACCTGCAATTCCCCTGGTGCTCTCTTGTGAAAAAGGTACATCCTAGCATATGTTTCATCATCAACCCATAAAAGGCCACTGCTGCAAATAGGCATCCAATATGTTAGGGATTTGCCTTCTCTTGGCCTTTGCTTGGCGTTCAAATTGATGATTGCTGTACCAGATACCGTCACTGGTCTGTGTACTTTACCTCTGGCACCACAAGGTGAACACCTATTTTAAAATAACAAGTTGTGTTTATGTAATTATTAATTCTTTATAACTACCTTTATTTTACAGAAACATCACAGAAAAACAAATCGATCTCAAGCAAACCAAAGAAAACAACAGACGATCATGATCACAAGGCCTACGCGAATACAGTAACAATTGTCCACAATTCGTACGTCTGTCCATTTCACAACAGAGTCAGCAACTACTATTGTTATTATTGCAAGGATCAGTTCACCAATCCAAACGAGCTGAGAGAGCACACACTGACCCACGACCCCAAGGAAATGTTCGAAAGCATGATGGAGGGCAAGAAGATACCGAAAATTGATATCACAAGAATCGATTGCAGGCTGTGCCCAGAGAAAATCGATGATCTGGAAACGTTAAAGAGTCACCTTACTAACGTCCATGGAAAAGAGATCCATCCGATCACAAACGAGTTTCTAAAGTTCAGGCTGTCTTTAAACAACCTTACTTGTACAGAGTGCAGTAGTTCGTTCCCTTATTTTGATATGTTGAAGAAGCACATGATCGACCACTTCGGCACATTCATATGCGATATGTGTGGGGCTTGTTTTCTTGAACAGAATTCACTGAGAACTCACATAAAGTCCCACAATAAAGTCGAGGCGAGCTTCCCGTGCGAGATATGCGGCAAAAATCTCAAGTCGAAGTACAGTCGTTACTTACACGTGGCTACCGTACACGAGAAGAAACCAACAGTCAACTGCTACAAATGTGAAGACAGTTTCCTTTCATACGCACTACGGAATAAACATTTAATCGAAGTGCACGGTGATAAACGCACGTTCCCTTGTAAATTGTGTGATAAAGTGTACAATAGACGGAAGACGTTAATGGAACATAATAGAAGGAATCATTTAAAAGTGTATAGACATCAGTGTGATTTGTGCGATCAGAGATTTTACTTGCCGTCAAGACTGAAAGAGCATATGGCGACCCACACAGGAGAGAGGAACTTCTGTTGTGAGTTTTGCGATAAAAGTTATCCAAGGTTGCAGTCACTACAGGAGCATATACGGTCTCACAGTAATGACAGACGTTATAAATGCGAAATATGTAATTCAACATTCACACAGAACGGCAGTCTCAAAAATCATCTGAAGAGTCATCATCAAGGATATGACGAATCCATGAGTTATAACTGAATTTAATGTTTTTAGAACATTATTAGCAATGAAAAAGAGGAAATATCCATTAAATATACATTTAAGGGGCATGATTTCTAAAATATACAAATCAAAGTAGAGAAATATGGAAGACCCAAGAAAAGTGGATCAAGATAAATGGAACAACACGCCTTGGAGAAGTTAGAAGGAACTTAGAAAACAAAAGATGGGAAATGATTTTAAAGACTGTACTCGCACAAACTACCAGCATTATGGTCTTCAGCATCATACCATTTTTCAACCTTCATCTTCAGTCTCTTCTCAAACAGAAAATAGGCTTACCGGAGATCCTAATAGTAAAAGAGTTGTAAAAGAGCCAGGAAAGGGAAACAGAGGAAGATTTTATTGTAGGCCTTTGAAGTCCTAAAAACCAATTTTAACTACTTAAAGATATTATAAGAGTTAATAATCTCGACCTCATACCATACAAAAATAGCCTACATATTCATCACAAATTAGGATTAAAATTTAACACCTAGTAGGCTTTCAAACTGGAACACAGTAATGGGACACTTTTTAATAATAGGAGTTACTTACTCAGATGGACTTGAAGACCTAAATTGAGCATCTAAAAACGATTAGGTACAAAAGATTAAAGATAGCTTGAATGTTTGAAATGTGGCTTGTGCAATATTGCATACAACTACTCTACATGTATAAATGAGGCTATTATTATTTATGAAACTGTATGAATGAAAATGAAATAAAGAAAACTATTTTTTTTGTGATTTAAGATGATTCCGAGTCATTTTAGCGTTTTTTAAATATTAGGTTACCTTTCTTCAGCTATACTTCAGAGACTCAAGTAATATCGATTTATACTAGGTCTTAGCTGTTGAATGAATCTCTTATCGGACAATCTCAATTGTACCGGTGAATAAGAAAAGGCTTTTTAAATAAATTTAAAATGAACTAAGAACTTAATTTCAAGCCATACAAAAATTATACATGATAAAGCCATGCTGTAGCTTTATTAAAGTTGTAGCAGAAAAGGTTGACTCGACCAGGGAACTACCACGCTCTAACAAAATAGCAGCTTAATGCTGCTCTGTTTCATGTCTCAAGTCGATTGTCAACTTAAAAACTAAAACTTCTGTATTATCGGAAGACGCAAGAGATTGGTACCACGTATAGCCGCTACCTGTGTAAGATCATGAGATAAGATGGCATTCACCTTAGGAAATTATTCACCATATATTTATGCACTGTAAGTAGCTGGGGTTCCCAAGTGCGCGCCTTAGGGAGCACTCCATCATATCATCCATATACCATTATCTGGAAACTAAATTAGGGTATTCCATCGATATATGTATTACGCACTAGATTTGGCATTCCGAACACTCGCTATGTTCGACTGAACTGTACTGCAATATGTACACCTGTTATTGTGGCTTCGATATTCACGCAGTGCGAAGCGGTACTAATAATAATTTTATATTAAATTAACATATATGCAAAATAAACGAAAATAAAAAAAATATGTATACGCGATTAACAATACCATCTAAATAGACAATTATTTATAATGACAATTTTCGCGCGTTTATATCAACTGCGCATGCGTGATTCTCGTGCATGTGCGGATACAAAGTAGGACACACTTTTTGTTTGGAATAGCTTCTCTAGTACGTAGTACATATTACTCAATGGTGTATTCGCGGGTAAAAAAAAACAATACAAATCGCGCGCGCTGCATACGTCACTCACTCGCCAATAGGTACTTACGCTGGGAAACGGGTCCAATTCGAATATCCAACTTTAAATTCAAAAGTTCTAAGGATTCTTATTTCTTTTGCAACATTTTTTCGATTTCATATTGTGGATGATTATATTGTTGTGCTTACTCGACCTATTTCGACTAATTAAGGCGCCGAGACAAAATACTAAACCTGTAAGTGCGCCTCGAACTTAAAAAGTTTAGGAGACCCTATACTATACACACTATACTGAACTGTCCCCGTATTTAACAATATTGACTCGTATTTCTCTCGTTTATCGAAAATTTTGACAAAATACGGAAATAAGCTGAGCGGCTAGGTTGGCCGGCGAGGGTTAAAAGAGGCGCGCGCATGAGTGGTACAAGCCGTTCGGTGCTTACACACGCCTCACTCAGTGCTTGTTAAATGCTAATCTGAACAATTCTTGCCCACAACGCAAATGTGGAAAGAATATTTTCTTTGATGACGGTCAAATGACTAACGAAACAGGTTGTCAGTAACACAGTAGTACGTCGGTCATAGTGGAAAGAGGAAAAGTAGGCTATCACTGGTCTAATCCGCAATATAATTTCCTACTGTCTCATAGTTATCACTTTTAGCTAAATTTTAATTCAGTGCCTATAAATTGGCAAGGGTCGAGAAGTTTAATTTTTACACAGAAATCGTAATAATAAGACAATAGTAGTCGCATAGACGCGTGATCTTGTTGCCGCTTATATGGGACATTCTGTGATTTAATTGTGCGGGGAACGTCGTAGGTGAATTTTTGTTATTATAAATTTATGATGGTGTACTGCAGCATAATCAGTTGTAAAAACTCATCAAGGACATGTAAATAAACTAATAAAGGCATAACATTTCATCAGTAAGTTGATTATTTACTAATTATCATTGTTTTAATTAATTTACATCTAGATGTATACTTTACTGTGACATTTACCTTTGCAAACTCATTTATTACTTTTCGTATGGTACAATTACCATTGCTGCTTTTGTTCTACCGTAATACGCGACACACGCGACGTTGACAAACTCGCCAAGCAATGTAATGTGAAACATTAGATATCATTGTGCATTGCGTATGTTTATAATACAGTAAGATGTGGCGACATCGCTTTTGGAAGTAATCGAGCGCTAATTAATTTTCTCTTATTATTACGATTTCTGTTATTTTTTACTTGTATTGTCTGGGTACAGGGTTTGTGAGGTTTTACCTAAACGATGATAAAACCTTTCATGATGAAAGAAAGAGCGACGGGCGGCGCTGTATAGCACTTTCTACCAATTCATTTGTTTTAGGGTATGTTCCAAAATAGAACCCAGTGTACTGTCCAATGCAAATGTCGTCATGAATCGTCGCTATACTGGTAATATAAAGACCCTAACCGCACCGAATAGAAATCAATAGATATAATTGAATTTCGAGCTTTTCTTGGTTTGCTTATATATTGTGCGGCCTTCAAGTCAAATCATGAGAATTTACGACTGATTTTTGCAACGAATGGTACCGGTCGGTGTTCCAAAACATAGTCCAGCATATGACGTCATACATTTGCGCCATATTGGTAAAGTATTGGCGATTATTTTGTCTCCAAAAATCATTATATCCTCCTAATGGAGATACCAGCAATTCTATAATTTTTTGTATGTGAATAAATAAAAACAAATTCTGCTGCATGCTTCATTCAGCGCATACCAATTAAAAATGTTTTATTATGGCCGGATATCAGACACAATATGGCGGCGGCACGCCAGTACAATGGGTGCGTTTGGCAGAAAAAAGCGCTAGCAAGCGCTTGTAAGCAAAATGGCGATCGTAAGCGGTAAGCGCTGTCAAATCGTAAGTAGCTATTTTCCTCTAGGACACGAAGATAGTTTTAACTGGGGAACCTAACCTAATTTAACCTTTTAAACGCCAAAGTCGTCTATACGTGACCAGCACCCGCGGGCCCTGAGCGCCAACGACGTCTATAGTTGACAAAAAACCCGGCCCACAAAAATATGAAATATAGAAATTGGAAAATTATTACTGGTATTTTAATTCTACACCCCTCAAAAAAGAACAACCCAGCAACATGTGAGTATAAAAAACAAGTCTCCTAGAGCCACAAGTACTAAGAAACATTGAACTAAAAAAAAATGGATTTTTATCTAAGCAAATACTATGTCCAGCACGCCAAAGTCGTCTATGTTTGACCGCTAGTGTTGTAATGCGTTAGGCATAAATTTATTGAAAACTATTCAAAATTAAACTAAAATGTTAGAAATATAAAACTATAATTAGCTACATGAATAAAAAAAATTATCAAATTATCTTCGCATAATAAATCTAATATCTCAACTCTGGCGCATCGACATCGAAAATCAGTTCACTGGGCGCCGTGGTCAAGTATAGACGACACGCTGATGACGTCATAAGCGATTAGCGGGAAAATTAGTGCAGTGCAACATGAACGATTCCTCAGAACTCATTCGGATTTTGGAAAGCATCGACGATGATGAATTTTCGGAATCTGAATCATTACCTGAAGATTTAAGTGAGGTAAGTGTCTTAAGTTCCTAATAAATTAAACTTATTTTACTAACATGCATATTGCCTATTTTATGTATCTATTATTTTATAATATTTTGTTTAATTTTAAATATAATAAGTTCGATACAAAATGAAACTGTTTCCCGGGCGACTCTTGTGAGCACATTTTTTATGTTTTTGTTTTCGAGTTTAGAATAATTCATCATGTTCGTTTACTTTTATACTGCAACTAGTAGATTTTTTTCTGTCAAAAAGCGAATGGTAATATTGTTTAGCGAAATAAATATCTTAAACCATATTTCACCATAATCCTTCCGAAAAGTAGGTACCGTGAGTAGACCATAAATCATAAATCAACCTAATGAAAAAGCATTAAGGTCCAAAATAGTATATCGACTTTCTACCTTACGGCATTACAATCGTTTCGAATAGTATTGTGAGTAGACTAAAAATCAATGTAGTGGTAAAACATTAAGATCTAAAATAGCGTGTCGACTTAGTACTAAATTGCTCTTTTGTTCTCGGCAGCGACGTTCTTTTTTTGTTACTAACACTTTCGCGTCTTACAGTAATCAAAGGCTTTCTCACAAATACAATCTACAATGATAATAATTACATACATTTTTCTTCATGACAAGTTTTCTCGTGAATTGTATTTTTTTTAATCAAAATATTGTATTTTTACAGAGACATGTATTATGACTGGGGTCTTCATCAATTGGACACTTTAGTTGAGAGAGTTGAGTACGATGACAACCATTTTAAATCACTTACACGGTTTGGATATCATGCACTTCATCATTATTTTCCAACGTTGGATCATGCAGAACTGAAATATCTTTATCCTACCTTTCTTGAGCACTGCGAGAAATTTGGAGTTGAATTTCGAACATCCACATATTATAAATCGTTTATCAGTCATAGTAAGCAATTTAAAGGAAACGCCTCAACAATTTTAAAGAAAGAAAAACTTTATACGTTAAATAGAAACGGTATAACTTAACGTACAGAAAACACTTCTGACCATACTCTAATAAATGACTGGATGTTATTTTTCGATGACTAATAAATTAGGATTTTGAACTATACACTTCTTGTAAGGAAATAATATTATTTTTAAAATATTTTTATTATACGTATTTATAAAGTAAAATACGTATGTTTAAAAAAAATTTTAAAATTATTCATTAATGGTATTAAGTTTTGACTAGTAGGTCTATTGGTAGCGTTTAATTTTGTGAATTAAGAATATAAATTACTATCCTCGATTACGAATCAAAATGCAGATGCGCTCTCACCCGTGAGGACTTAGATGGAATGCCTCGTTTCTAGTAAACACACCCACCATCGAAACACAGCAGCATTAAGCTACTATTTGACGCCGGTATTCCGTGAGAGCGTGGTTCTTCCCCGGTTGAGCCGACCCATTCGTGCTACAACTACTCTCCCGTAATATAACTACAGCATGGCTCTACCACGTTAAAAAATTTGCTTTGGCCAGCTAAACATTTATGTTTTATTATTCCATAAGATTTTTATTATTTTAAGACTAATATTATCTATAATTTATTAATTATTTTTAATTGTTGTTTTCTATATTAAGTACTGATTGAGTTAAAGACCAAGATTTTAATATTTTAAGACTAGACCTAGTGCAAATAATTATATACAATTGTTGATTAGTGAATAATTATGTACCATTTGTTGATTTCTGTAATAAGTAAGTAAGACCAAGATTTTAATATTATAAGACTGATTTTTCTAGTGCGAATAATTATATACAACTGTTTTTTTTTTGCGCCCGAAGCAAATATGGGCAACCCTCCGGAAAGCGGGGGAGGGAGGTTGGGAATGTTCATAGCATACCACGCAGCCTGCGGGGTAATGTGGTGACTTTTACCCACTAAACCCAACCTTTTAGGAACTGGCTTAACGATCTGACTAGAGATCTCTAAGCCGTATACGAACGCGACCCTCCTTGGCACAAAGGAGGGCGCAAGTACAATTGTTGATTGGTAGATAATTATGTACCATTTGTTGATATTTATAATAATTACTGATTTTTTATTCCATGACCAAGATTTTAATATTATAAGACTGATTTTCCTAGTGCCAATAATTATATACAATTGTTGATTGGTGGATAATTATGTACCATTTGTTGATTTTTATAATAATTACTGATTTTTTATTCCATGACCAAGATTTTAATATTATAAGACTGATTTTCCTAGTGCGAATAATTACCTATATACAATTGTTGATTAGTGAATAATTATGTACCTTTTTATTTTAATAATACGAGTATAAAATTACAAATAATAAATGTGTTTTTTTTACTTAAGGTATGAAGAGCAATTTTTCATTTTGTGTTGTGCGATTTTCTTTCTCAATCTCAAAATCATTTAGCAACATCAGCATCATATGAAACCCCCATTGTCATAAGAGCGTGACTTTTCTTCTGTGATTCACTTGGCCTACGCCTCACCATAAAATATTTTGAATCGATGTCTGTATATTTTGGTTAGATCGATTTTGAAATCGATACACAACGTGCGACACGGCTACATCTCTATGAAAGTTTCAAAAAGATAGGTCAGCTACGCCGTTGTCGTCCAGTCGTGACAGTGACGTCATCACGATGGAGAGTAGTGTTGTGGTTTACCACTATTTTATTGTTATTGTTTTTTTTTATTTATGTACAAAGTACATATATAAAAAGAGTGGAAGACAGCACAAGATTAAATAAAACATACCCGATTATAAAGAGTCATTTATTGTATAAAAAACCAACAAAAACCAGTTATTTTGTGTTATAGATATATCAACTCTTGGCAGCACTGTTTTTTTCGTAGGTATTTTTGTTTACTTTTCGCTTTGGCGTACAGGACACGGTAGTGAGATTTTGGCGTGGCGCTCAAAAGGTAATGTATGTTTGTAAAGTATTCATATTAAAAACTTACCAATCATGAATTTTTAATAACATGTGTGATATGTTTATTCATGTCATTATATTACTTAAAACTAATATTGCACAAAAAAACTTATAAACTCTACTTCAAAACAATCGAATTAAATAAGCAAAATGGCGGATTGTGTCAGCGCTACTGAAGTTAGCGAACGTGTCCTGGCCGAAAACTTTTACTTTAGTTTCGCCATTTTGCTTACAAGTGCTTGCTAGCGCTTTTTTCTGCCAAACGCAGCCAATATAGTGGGTGCGTTTGGCAGAAAAAGCGCTAGCAAGCGCTTACAAGCGCTGAAATAGTTTTCGGCCAGGACACGATTGCTAGTTCAGTAGCGCTGACACAATCCGCCATTTTGCTTATTTAATTTGTTTGTTTTGAAGTAGAGTTTATAAGTTGTTTTGTGCAATATTAGTTTTAAGTAATATAATGACATGAATAAACATATTATACATGTTATTAAAAATTCATGATTGGTAAGTTTTTAATACGAATACAAACATATATTTAAATTAGGTTAGGTTCCCCGGTTAAAACTAACTTCGAGTCCTAGAGGAAAATAGCTACATACGATTTGACAGCGCTAACCGCTTACGATCGCCATTTTGCTTACAAGCGCTTGCTAGCGCTTTTTTCTGCTAAACGCAGCCAGTGTCAATTAATGACGTCATTTGTATTCGGCAGTATACTGAAAACGTTTCGGAACATACCCTTAAACCCGGCCCTTGGCAAAGATGACACATCTCTGTATAACTAATTCAGTGATCATTAGTCAATAAAGTTCAACAATGGTTTACTTAACATATACAGAATTGTATTCAAGATTCAGAGCAGTATTATTTATAAAAAAAAGGGATAAAATAAACCTGCGGGGCGGCGTAGGCGCAACTGTTAGCGCTAGTCTCTAGTATATATACAGTAATCTATGTGTTAGCGCTTCGTCGGATTCGGTTGTCGCCCAAACCGCTTACAAATATTTAGACTAAGAGCTAAGAACTTATGTTTTAAATTATTTGCTTAGTATATATTAGTCCAGCTTTTTGTATTTTTATAGGTATAATGTGGTATTTGTACACATAAAGGACCATATTTATTTTTAATTAATACTAACATATCTATTGTGTGCCGGACGGGCGAAACTCTCCGGAGTAAATGTTGTCGAAGATACTTCGCGAGTCGCTCACGTCCTACACCTATAGGTTTCGGTGGGTACTTTCACTGCCGTCTTTGTGGTTGCCGCTGAAATATTGTGGACTGAGGTTAAAATCAAAATGCACGATTAATAAATACAAATAGCAAGGTAGTGGCCAGCGGTTCGACTGATTAATTAGTCGCGAAATTTTATAACTATCGACCACGGTTGAACTACGGTTGTTCACTATTGGTTGGTCACTGTATATTTCAAAAGATTTCTTTGAATTGTACGGTGGTATCAAATATCTATTGGTAGTAGCTGGTTTTCTAACACTACTGACTAGCAGCTATTATCAACTAAACTAGCTGATTTTATCACTTGTGTAACTGCAGATATCAGTTACCACTTTCACTATATGTAACTGCGAATATCAGTTACGACCTTTTTATGCTAGCTAACACTTTCACTATATGTAACTGCGAATATCAGTTACGACCTTTTTCGTCTAGCTAATACTTTCACTATGTGTAACTGCAAATATCAGTTACGACCTTTTTCGGCTAGCTAACACTTTCACTATTCACTATATACTGCTACTAGTCACTTCAGCTACCACCGGATACCACTCACTTCACTTCACTTGTCACTGGTAGTTCTTCACACTACTACTGGTACTGGGTCCCGAGCCCCTAAGGTAGACTTTAGCAATACTTTACAGTGAGCCGCTTGCCATTTTCCGTTTTGCCTTTCACTATATGTAACTGCGAATATCAGTTACGACCTTTTTCGGCTAGCTAACACTTTCACTATGTGTAACTGCAAATATCAGTTACGACCTTTTTCGGCTAGCTAACACTTTCACTATTCACTATATACTGCTACTAGTCACTTCAGCTACCACCGGATACCACTCACTTCAATTCACTTGTCACTGGTAGTTCTTCACACTACTACTGGTACTGGGTCCCGAGCCCCTAAGGTAGACTTTAGCAATACTTTACAGTGAGCCGCTTGCCATTTTCCGTTTTGCCTCTTTATTGCATAAACTTTTCACTATACAAATGGCATAAATTGCAATATTTTCTATACAATACTAATTGCTACACTAACATGCTATACATCATTAAATCGGTAGTCTGGTACTTTATTAGTATATCATAAAGGTTACTAAAAACATTAACATTGTAAAAAGTTATTAAACGAAATGTCCCAAATTTTCATAATATTTGGGTACATTAATTCTTTAATTTTTATATAATTATCAAATGCGTTTAATTATACAAAATATTTCTACACTTCTTTAATCTATAAGCCATATGTTAATTCAATGTCATATTTACAACTCTTTTAGAACATAAAATTATTTTCATTATTTTTGGTATGAACTATTACGCAGTTAATTAAAAAACTTCTAGAGAGTTCTACGATAAGACGCGCTGTGATTGGTCGATTTTTCTTAATATAATAAAAGTTGTTTACATTACTTGTTATCAAAACGACATTCTATACAAATATATTAAGAGTTATAAACATGCTAAACAACTATATTAATACACGTTTTCACCGTTTTGTCAGTAATTTCATTATTAATACAAAAAACAATA